TAATATATTGCTTTATGACAAAAATATATAAATCGATTCTCTTGGTAGAGATGCAGACGAAAATCTATAACAGAACCATCGAATTTAACATTTAATACCAAAAAGCAAGTCACAGCATGGAAACGCAAGTTAACGCATAGTGCATAAAATAGTGCATCATGTTTTTTATGTACTACCTCATCATATATGATTATATGTTTTTGAGTGTTGTATCGAGGCCTGAATTGAGCCAGTAGCTCAATGAAGTATATAAGTTACAGCATCCAAACACAAAGTAAGGATTAGTGTGCAAAATTTGAAATACAATACCTCACTATACATAATTTAAAGTGATAGATCGTGGTTCTGTCAGATAGTCAAATTGGATACATAATTATATTGCATAAGATCAATTATGCTATGTATATGTTAGACTGTGATCTAATCACACCGTAAAAAATATATCGTGTATACCTAGACGTGTTTCAAAGTTTTCTTTCGTAACTTCATGAGGAAATAATCCGTCTTATTCTGGGTGAACTCAAGAAAAAAGCCGCAGACCCCGTACGAGAGTAACGTATGGTTCGTTGGGAGTTTTAACAGCTAAATTTGACTAGTTAAGAATTGGTCGAAAACATCTGAGTAATGTCAAAACATTATGCATCAGGTGTTTATCTACGTCCTCATTTTGTGTAGGTATTATATTTCTTATTATTTTATATTGAATATTGAAAACTTTATGTGTTTTAAAAAGATGACCTCATGCTTAAACTGCTCTGTTCCGCAATTCGAACAACAAACTATTCGAACACTAGTCTTCTGTAGATAAAACTAGGAGGATTTACGAGCACGAAGAATTTATCAAAATTGCAAATAATTGTCAAAGAAGTTGTAAACTGTTTTTGATTGCTCCTTAAATGGGCGTTAACAAATGAACAAATTACCTGGGTTTCACCGGGTTACACTAAGGAAAATCAGATCAATCACATATGCATCTGTAAAACGTTCTAAAGGTCTGTCAAAGACTCAGGAACAAAGAAACCAATTTATGTAGCTGCAGACCAGCACCTGGTGGTATGATAAACATGAAGATAAAGAAGAATTGCACATACGGAAAAAAAGCACAACAAAATTTTAGTACGGCCTTCTCCAGAGATACTGAAAAACTCAAGAAATTTGAAGTTGTTTTCAGCAAGAGGCTTCAGGCCTTACAAGACCTACTTACCGACGAAGCAATCACTAAAGAATATCATTCCTTCGACATGACGGAAAATACTGGCGTCAAAAAGCAACAGATTAAGGGAATGTTTTTAGTCTGTGATCTCTGCGTTGGTCAGAGTTCATGCCAGGGGAGAAAAGAATTGAAAACAATGTAAGAAACTGCAGTACGGTTATGGATAAAAGCCAATAAAATTTCATATCAGTAAAGTGAGGTGTTATTCATTTGTAGAAAAACTCTAATAGCCCATTCACCTTTGAAGTAAGTGTTCTTGTCCCCAAAAAACCAATCAAAGATTCCTAACCAGTCCAACCAGCCCAAATATCACAACTCTAACGCCAGAATAGAATATAGATCTCTGCAGACACCTTGGGAAAGATTTAAAAAAGTGATAATTAGGAAACAGCAACCAACAATGGCCAAACTGAAGCAGACTAAGCAAAGCGACAAACTAGATATACCAAAGCAAACGAGTGAGAAAAAAGTGCCGATAAACTTCATAGTGGAAATATGCGGAAAACCTAGAAATGTCAACGGAAAAAGCTTCTAGGAGGAGAGGTGAGAAATCGATATGATACGACGTAGAGGCTAGTAGGGAAATATAATAAACTAGGACGACCAGTTGAAAAATAGGGGAAACCAGTCACTGAGATTCAAGTACAGTCGACAGGGTGGAGAGAAAACTTTGAAGAGTCCGCTAATAGGCCAGTCCCTATAAACCCCCTGGACCCTGAAGCAACATACACGCAGCATTTTTCATCTATGAGTGCACCGGCGGTCAAGTCCATTGGGTTAATCAAAAGCAGCAAAGAGACAGGATCAAGGAGCACACCAGACGAAGCACTGCAGTCAGACACAGAGATAACTGTGAATATGTTTCTTGCGTTCTACAGGAAGATTTGGGTGGAACGGCAAGCGCCAACGGACTGGGAAAAGATAAGTCTAGTTAGGATATCAAAGAAAAGAGAGCTCGTTAAGCATGGGAACTTCAGAAGGATCCCACTACTGTAGGCACTAGATAAAGTTTTAAACAGTGTTGCTGAATCACCTGACTTGAAAATTTCATTTTTTTAAGGACCGATCTCGAGACAAGCGTATTTGTACACCACATATCATTATTCAGCAGTCAGTAGAAATGGATGTGTTATCATGTACCTATTTCTTTGATTGTCAGGAAACATTTCACATGGTGGATAAAGTGACACTATAGAATCTGTGACACTATTGAACATTGAAAAAGAGCGGCACCACCATACAAACCACCTGTGGGGGACTAATGTGTAGATTCATACATAAGTGACAGTAAACAGGAGCATTGCAAATGAAAAATAATGTCAGTCTAGGGTACCTACTCTCGAATTTCCTCCTTCTTCTGGCTATTAAATAAATGTTAATATAGTCCACATTACAAGGGACACGTGGAATGAAGTGGGAACAAACGTAGCTGGATTACTCATATGATACAGAATCGTAATTTCTTCGTGAAATAATAATAGTTTTGTGTAAACTTAACCATACGATTCTAAAAGTAATATAGAACACTCACACGCGTGCACCGTTATCTGTTTTAAGTATTGATACAGTCGTCAAAACCAGAACACTTACTGATTAGACCTGGAAATTCAATGGTTTGGACACAAAATTATATAACACTACTATCAGTTTGAAATATCTTGGTGGAGTCGTGACGAAAGCAGTTACTAAACAATTAAATCTGTATTCCAATGCCAAAATGTTTTACAATTATATGCAGCGATCCAAAATCCAATACATGATCAGAAATGATGTTAAAGGTGATAACGTTGAGGCTCATTTTCACATATTCTGAGACAAAAATGCACACAGTCTGGTGAGTAGTTTTGGATTTCCAGGTAACCCATTTTCACTTTCATGTGAAACTTCAAAGGTACTACTATTGGTTTATTTAAAGTGCACTGACATGGAATGCTGACAGAGGGTAAGCACTTAGATGACGGTTCGTCACAATCAACTGTATGTTAGCGCTTGTATTCTCAAACTGCAAGGACCAGCTGCCAAGTGAAACTCCTGAGACAAGTTCCGTGATTATTTGTGTGGTCGGTTAACTGCCAGAATAAACGTCTCGAATCTTGAGAGTGCACTAGAACAAACTTCTTAGTACTCTTTTCAGGATGTCAAAGTTGCATATAATAGTTTATCATGATGTGAATGAGGTTCATTTACATGTGGTGAAGGATTTTAGTACATTAATTAGTTTCATCAATCAAGTTCCTACCGAGGCGCCAGATCAATATTGATTCCTATTCTCATGGAAATAAAACCGATTGTCCAAGTCGCACATCAACGGTCAATTATGGTTAACCTAGGTTTTGTAAGTTTTTCAACAGTCGTAATCCAGGCCAAAAATCAAGTACAGCTCGCAGTACCAGATGTTTTAAGTGTGGTAAAAATGTCTATACAGTCGTTAGGTCACAATGCATTAGCTATTACACTACCAATAATTCCACTGAATATCATAATGACGGATAAGCGTGCTATCTATATGAAATAATGTTTCCTTTGTATTTGATGACCCGCTGACCACGAATTACAAATATAATACGATCATTTGTGCCCATTTAGTTCTACCTGCCTGAAACTGTACTATTCGAAGATTCCTAGCACATTAGACCGAATACTTCTAATTACCATATTATGTTAAGCTCTCATGATACTTGTCTTTACTTCATTATGTGATAAATTAAATTCGACCTGAATGGTCCATGGCCATTTATTAAATCATATTGAATAACAAGAAGTCACTTGCTGTTAGAGCAAGGTAGACAGAATAAGGATAAAGTCAGTAAACTGAGTCACTGATATGTAGTTTTGGTAGCTAATATTAGTCATGTGCATGACTGAAATGACTAATAATATTCTACCTAAGAATCCAACTGTTCTGACCCAGCCTGGGGTTGATGCAGCTTGCCCTCAGTGAATTATTTCCCACAATAATTAATTGTGTTATACTTCAAATTACTGATCAGTTCGCGTTTATTCCCTTCTTGATATAATGTGTCTGATTCTTCCTCGTGATCCAAATACACCAATTAGCGTTTTGGGTAGTGTAAGGTATTGAATACCAATTTATGTTAATGGATGGGCTTATACTAATTTCACAGAATTGCGGAACTTGTTTGAAAAAAAGTATATGTAGGCATAATAAATTCAACAACTACGGAATTCCCGTCAACTCTACTGTTCGACTGAGGCTAATAGCTGGGGAATTCTTGTGTGCTCACCATATGGTTTAAGAGCACCTCATATCAAACTTAGCTGTCAAGTAGTTCGCAAAGTGGCTTCTTCGATGCAACTGATTGGTTGGAAGAATAAAACTACTCGAAATTGTCTAGGGATGCCTAGTAATTCAAACACTGATGATTTGATTTTCGTCAGTAATAACTATGAATACTGACATCTCCACCTTTCTTGGGGTTTCAGACTGGCTGAATATGAAGGAAGTGTACGTAAGCTGTCAATTTCAATATCCGATTAAGTCTAAGTGAATCATTATTTATATCACGTTTGTTAATGGGACGCAAATTTATCCTGAGCTAACATCAAGTATTCGAATGAAATCCTGGTTGTAGCAATTAAATGATCGAACGAGATTTTCCCGACACTAAAATGTAAATGTCCAGACGAAAAACAAACTCATATAAAACATGTACCCAAGAGCTGTAAAGCTTTCTTGCTTCACAAAGACAGAAGTTGGAACTTCCCACAAGAGGATAAAATAACTGGCTTACAAGCCACACCTTACCAATGAAATGCTTTGTTTGAACGCTCCACAAGATTGCGGGGTGTGTAAAAATGACCGCCATATTTTGCGTTTTAACTAATTTCCTCATTAATGATTTTTCTACCTTTCTTCCTTCGGAATAAACCCATGATTTTAAAATGTGTAAGTTTGGTTCCTATATGATAGTAGTAGATCAAATCTATGTTTATTTTTTCTTTCAAGTGTCTACAAATTTTTTAAAAAATAAGTCATAATTTACTAGTGTCTTTTTCGTAAGTTTGTTCAATAGTAACATGTGTGTCAGTCAATAATATAATAAGTTTGCAGGGCTCACTATTTTGTGGACGCCATATAAATGGATTCTCTCAGATGACTAGTCTCCTTAACCATAACTGCTTGTCGTTTAGATTGTATTTTAGTCGTACTAGTGACCGGTAAACAACGTAAGATCACATTTAGATCAGGAGAACTCCTTGAGGACCAGTGGATGTCATTGGCGTCAGTACTGGGCTGGTCATTCGCTGATTATTACGCTTGAAAAATCGACTTAACAAAGTTCATCGTCAATACTGTATGGCTTGCAGAAACAAGAAGCTAACTCATTATCAACGTTTCTTTCAAGTGAAACACTAAGGGGAGCTTATTTAATTCCCCCTCTAGTCCATGGTTGTTTGGGTAAATGACCTGTTGGTTTATTTTCAACCAAACAGTTGTCAGCTATCACCCCAACAAATGAATGATATCAATTATCTCCGAATGCTAATCCATAGACTCAATACCCAGAGAAAAAGACGTAGTAGGGGTCCATATGACTTGCTTTTTGTGGTTCTTGGGGACTTTTCTTCTGTTGCTTACCCTTCCGAGGAAACCAAACATCACGACAAACCATCCACCATATAAGATGCTTTTAAGACGTCACTTTTAATGTACATTAAGTTGATAAAGTGTGAAGTATGAGAGCTAATTTAAAACACTTCATCATTTCAAAGGTTGTATACATGTCAGATTTACTTTCTATGGATCCCCTTTCCAAATTGCTACATCAGCATTTCGCGTGTTAACAGGACTCACTCTTGAAACACACGACCCTTTTCTCTAGTGGAATAGTCATTTCCTGCATTAGGTACGTAAAATTTCTTCTGACTCAAAAGATCTTTGTTTAGTGACTTACAAATCGCTGCCACCTATTAAAACGTTCATCTCAGAAGACGTTCTACGGAAGATAGTGTGGTATTATAGGTGTTAGAATCAAAAAATGAAAGTACCCAGTCATATTTAGAAATGTTAAGAGTTTCGTCAGTTTGTTCAAATAACCCATCGCCCAGTGTTTAGTCTTCCTCACCATCATTGATACTACCTTTGCTTTGATCCCTTCGTTATTTGTCTTATTAATTTCACCTTTCCTTCCATGTTATCTAAGAAACTAGACTGAAACGCACTTATGCCAGGCTCTTTGTTTATTACGACTGACTGATATGCAAGTAATGTTCCAAATAGATCTTTGACCAAATACTAGTAATCCACGATTGTCTTCTACTTTTAATGTCCATGCTTCTTGACCATAAAATAAAGCAGTGAGATCCCCCTTCCTAGCTGACTTCCCATTTTTGTCACTGGTGATACAAGTTGACTAAAGCCAAGTGATGTTTTTTCATCAGCATAGTTGATGAGACTTTTTCAGCAAGTTAAGCGGTCAATTCTCTTGGCTGTTTGATTCCCTTTTATCACCATAACCACTGATGGGACCAGTTCCAGACTAATATTTGGGGAGAGAAATGCGTCCGGAAAGTTCTTGCGTCGTTGCCTGGGGAGTTTAGAAGACCCTCCACTTTACCAGCCTTTCCGAGACAAAACAACGTCATCTATTGCTAGCCAACCAGCGTGTCTCCAGGATGAACACCAGTTGAAAAAGTAAGCATTCCTGGGGAACCCATGGAGGTTACCAACTGTAATTATAGTTAATCATAATCTCAACACATCTTATTTTCGATGGTTATATTTCACATCCCTAAGGCATAACAGTAAACTTTGAAATATCCCTACTCGATAGTCAGTCGGGCTTCTTGGGGTTAACGTAACTATAGCATACCACGGCTGACGAAACTCTAAAACTGTTCTGTATGACTAATCGGCGAGACTATAATTTATGGATGACCTTTGAGTGATCCTGGACTAACCTTGAGAGTGTTCATTTAATAACTAGGACCAAATGAGGGTTATAAACCTGTGAGGAATTAGAATTATGATTTACTGTTGATGCTTAAGGTTAAGAATTAGATTCAGGGTTTTCATCACGAACTGACACCAGTTACAATGCCAAAACTGTATTTAGCCAAATAGAGGAGTGGATTTCGCGCCAAAAATCCAAGACCTACTGTCTTATACCTGTTCAGTTCGTCCATAAATTATAGTCTCTTCGACTAATCAAAACATTTCTTATTTCCTATCTAAAAATAAGTGAAAACTCACTTTACACGTGCCAAGTGTAAAAATTATATTAAACAAACTTATTTGGAAGTATTTTAACGACAATACCATGATTTTTTCAATCATGACTCCCTCCGTTAAGCGCTTCTGGTCCAAAGTCTGGTTGCTTCAAGAACTCTATTTCTAGATACTAATATGGATTAGTTACGACCCGTTAAAAGTTAACACGACGGTCTATTTTGCTTATTTTGTAAATGAGTCCGATCAGTGCTTTAATCTTCGTGAACACCTAGTATATTACTTTTTGTAGTCATTTATTACTTGAACTCGATTAAACATTTGTATCACTGTTAAGTTGCTCTAAATTTTACTCTCCACACTTTTCGATATTGTCCACACCAAATATACTGTAGCTGGTGTAAATATGCAAGGCTCGACCACAGATCAAATCACCTATACAAATGACCGTCCACAAGGTTTATCTACGGAGGCCAAGATGGTTCTCATGCAACAGCAGTTAGCACTACTTTTACATGCTGATCATTGTGAACGCCTTGAAAGGAGGGGGATGGCAACAAACTGTATGGATCGAAATTGTGGTGAAATCCGAAACTTGCTGCCTCATTTACAGAGTTGTACTCGAGAAAAGGAGTGCAATGTTCCACATTGTATTTCATCTAAGTACATAATGCGACACTACCGTTCTTGCGGAGATATGGAATGCAAAGTTTGTTCAGCAATCAGGAAACCGATTGGGAACTCTACACCGTCATCAGCATCATCCGTTAGTTGCCCACAAAATGGACTCGCTTCAAACCACAAATCTGACATATCATCCTTAAATGGCATCAAAATATCAGACTCTTTACTTCCACACCAAAAGACTGCTTTTACAACTGGCTCGTGTGAATCACAACCAACTGTTGTGTTGAATGGTGAGTTCAATCGGGTACCTTTACATGAAAGCCGCATCACTGATCAACAGCGAGAACTAGCTATGAAAAAATTGTAAGTTATAGTTTTTCATAAAGTTATTTTTCATAGTGTGAATGATATTTCTTTATCAATCTTTCCAACGGCAAATCCTACCGCATACAGTGATCCCAGAATGAAACAGTTTCTCGATTATGTGAAACGAATGGAAAAAGACGTTTTTGTAAAATCTAGGTCAACTGAAGAATATTTCAAGACAATGGCACTCCATTATCACAATATACATTCTGAATTAAAGGAAAAGCGTCGTCTGAGAGAATCCTGTCCGCCACTACAAAATGGAGACATTTCTGATGTGACACAACCTTCAGAACTGTCAAATTCTGTTTCATCAGAAAACTCATTAAAAACTAATTCTTATGATCAGGACCAGTTTTCAGATGCTTTAGAAATCGTATCCAAGCGTGAAGAACAGATTCAACGGGAAATTAAAGTTGAAGTTGCAACAGAAAGCTCTTCGAATTCCTCTGACTCTGCAGGGGTTTTAGAAGACAAGGATAATAAAGAGGATTCAAATTCACCAGAAGTTAAATATCATCCTGTCGCGTCCGTAGAACCTAGTGAAAGCGACACAAAAACAAAGATTGATGAAAAAACTGATCTGGAGTCTGATGCACCTGAGCCTACCGGTTCTGATGAAAAAAAGACGGATGCTCAGGCTTCTCGAGAACCTATCAGACGGAGAATATGGTACTCTAATGAACTGTTGCAGCATTTTCTACCAGTTGTACTAAAAATAAGCAAAGAAAAGGATGCAGAACCATTTTTGACTCCAGTGGATTGGAAGTTCCTTGAAATATATGATTATCCTCAAATAGTTTCTGATCCTATGGATCTATCAACTATACGGAGAAAATTAGAAGACCGAGAATATAAAGATCCTTGGGAAATAGTCGATGACTTTTGGTTGATGCTTAACAATGCCTGGCTGTACAATAAGAAGACGTCCAAGGTGTACAAGACCTGTACAAGGGTAATTTCATATTTTTTACGATTACACGTTTCTCTAGTTGGCTGAGACATTTGAAACTATAATTGATCCCGTAATGCAGTCGCTTGGATTTTGCTGTGGCAGGGAATACTATTACCAACCACCTACCTTAACCTGTTTAACGCCCAAGTTTTGTACAATATATCGCGATGCAGTTTATTACGTCTACAAGAGCGAGTAAGTCCTAATTTTTTGTCATAATATTGTGATAGTGGTCAAACTCCTGGACTTTTGGAACAAAAATACACAGTATGCGAGAGATGTTACAATGAAGCTTTGGATCAAATAGCCCTTGACAGTGACTCCAGTAACCCAGTGTAAGTTGCATTTGCTTTAAATGTTGAGTGTGCATTTTTAGGAATGTTCAGAAGAGCTTGATGGAGAAGTGCAAAAATGATATCAAAGAAAAGGAGCCATTCGTATTTTGCAAACATTGTGGAAGGAAGTGGCACAGAGTTTGTGCCATATACCTTGAAGAAATTTGGCCAGATGGTTTTATTTGCAATCACTGTATTGTGAACTATGGATTAAAGCGTGTTGAAAATCGTTTTACAGCTAAGAAATTGACAACATGCAAATTAAGCAACTTTTTAGAAAAACGTGTAAATGACTTTCTGAAGAAAAAAGAAGCCGATGCGGGTGACGTCATCATTCGTGTTCTTGCGGCAGCAGATAAAACTGTTGAAGTTAAATCTGGTATGAAAGCTCGGTTCTGTGATAACGGAGAAATGCCTGAGTCTTTTCCGTACAGAGTGAAAGCCATTTTCGCATTTCAGGAAATCGACGGTCAGGAAGTATGTTTTTTTGGTCTTCACGTTCAGGAATATGGATCAGAATGCCCACTTCCTAATACCAGAAGGGTTTATGTGGCTTATTTAGATTCCGTTTACTTTTTTCGTCCTAAACAATTTCGCACAGAGATATATCATGAACTTTTGGTTGGTTACATTCACTATGCAAAGTTACTTGGTTTCACAATGGCTCATATATGGGCTTGTCCGCCTAGCGAAGGTGATGATTACATTTTTCATATGCATCCACCTGATCAGAAAATTCCTAAACCTAAGAGGTTACAAGAATGGTATCAAAAAATGCTTAAAAAAGCACTCATTGAACGCATTGTGGTGGATTACAAAGATATCTGTCAGGATGCTAATGAGTCCCATATGATCTCTCCAGCTGAACTTGCCTATTTCGAAGGTGACTTTTGGCCAAATACTTTGGAAGAAATATTTAAGGTAATTCTCTTTAATGTTAAATGAATTATAGCTGTTCTCGTAATTTTACAACCATAATTTGTATCATAATCTAGTACCTGCCTATAACTTTTTTAGAGTTGAACTATGCATTATGTTGAATAAAATCATTTCAATTAGTTTCTTGTATCGTGTTTCGAAAAATGATCAGGTATCGCTTTTATCAATCACCAACTCCTGAAATAAATCTAGTAAAGTCCAGAATTTTCGATTATGTTACTATGGAATTTTGTTGGGTCACTCTACCTGTTCCTACCTTGTCTGTTAGCATCTGTCTTGTCTGCTGACCGAGTAGGAAATCTGTGCTCGTTTACCCTCATTTTGTTGGTTGTAGAAAAACCCATCAAAAGTATTTACAAAAAATTGGGCTATTATCCAACAACAATTTTAATGACTTTATATTTTCGTAGATTAAAGCATCCAAGAATATCGTCTTCTCACTTTTGTAGCGCAAAACACCTTAGGGAAGTTATTTTGTGAATAATATCTGATTTCCGACACATTTTTATCATTTGAATGAGGAATGTTATGGTGAAAACTCGCTTTTAACTATCAACCAATGACTAGAATGTTCTAGTCGGCCCTGGTATGACCGAGAGTTGGAAAAGTTAGCTCTCCCTCTCGAAATGCTCTCACATGGCCACGCCTATACAGGTACCGCCAGGAAAGTCCTACTCACTGCCTTCTCGTAGCTGGGGTGTTGTTTACGAAATTGAGAGGACGAAAAGCGAATGTCCAGCGCTTTAACCGAATTGGTGGATACGGAGGGTCCACCTCGGGGAGTTGGAAAACCCTGATTCCAAACCAATGGTGCACATGGGCTCCGGGATCCTGTTGTTGGTCACCGGTTACCATGTGACCGCGTCTCCTGACGTTGCTCCACTGTCTTGTAGATTAGACCTTTATGTCAAAGGCTCCGGGGGTGGCCCTCTAAGTAAACCACCTGCTTCGGTCTGGGTTTATCTGGGCGTTAGCGAGTATTATCTGACCAATTAGGTCATATCATTGCATATGTTAAGTAATTTTAATATGGATCTGTCTAGTTTGGAAAAAGTTGCATCACTCACGGGTAGTATTTCTGTAATAAAGTTTAACAGTATACTTTTAGTAACGGGTGTTTCCTCATTAACTCTTGATTTAAATACTATCTGCGAGTTTCGAGGTGGTTGCTATTGTTGGTACAAATGTTCTGGGAAACATTTCTTACCTTACGAACTTTGTTTATATCTAGTTGTAACACATCATAGATGCTGCTTGGAAAGACATACGAACAGCTGTGGAAACAGCAGTAACATCTATTAGTCATTTAAACCAAGGGCTCCAAAAAACCAATGGATTTCTTCTAAGTCTATTTCACTGATGGATTCGCGTAAACTCATCCCATCAGGCTCTGAACATGAAGAGCGTAAAGAAATTAGATCTACGTTGACTAAAAGTCTAAGGAACGATCGTAAGCAGTGGTGGGCAACGAAAGCAAAAGAGATGGAAAAGGCAGCGGCTGTAGGGAACACCAGGCAACTATTCAGACTAACAAAAGAAACTGGAATTAAGAAGTCAAGTGTAAGTGAGACAATCTCCGAAAAAGACGTAACCCTTATCTGCTCTCAACCCAAACGTTTAGAACGATGGGCGGAACACTTTAAGGAGCAGTTTAGCTGGCCTTCAGCTACCGCACAACTACTCACTATTCCTAGAAAACCTGAATGGAACATTGAAGTAGGCCCCCCGACTCTAGCTGAAGTTCAAAAGGCTATAACTAGTCTGAAACGAGGGAAAGCAGCTGGTCCAGATGGATTGGCTCCAGAGGTATGTAAATATGGTGGTCCAATTTTAGCGATTAGGTTGACTGATATTTTAGCTAAAATCTGGGAGTTGGACGTAATCCCATCCAACTGGTCACAATCACTTATTGTCCCAATATATAAGGGGCCAAAATCATCCTGTAGTAACCATAGAGGGATTAGTCTGACTAACATAGCATCTAAAATACTAGCTTCAATAATTATTGGGCGCCTAACTAAGACTCGTGAACTGCAAACACGAGAAAATCAGGCTGGCTTCAGACCTGGTCGTGGCTGTATCAACCACATATTCACCATTCGTCAAGTTTTAGGACACAGACACGCTTATCGGCATCCGACAATGATAGTTTTTCTTGACTTGAAAGCAGCATTTGATTCTGTAGACCGAGAGGTTCTGTGGCAGTGTCTGTCATTGAAAGGTGTACCTGAGAAGTACATAAACCTTGTGAAGGCTCTTTATTCGAACACTACCAGTCGAGTGAGAGCTTATGGCGAACTGTCATATGATTTTACAACCTCAAGTGGTGTCCGACAAGGCTGTCCACTATCCCCACTTTTGTTTAATTTCATCATAGACCTACAGCTGGAAATAACACTCTCTTCGACTGAATTTACAGGAATTGATCTCCTACCAGGGGGACCACTAAGCGACTTAGAATTATTTATTTTATTATTTATTTAAACACATATATATTGGTACAAAAGGGCACCAGGTACATATGCGCCACACAAAATAATGAAAGTAGGTAGATAAAGGATGAAAAGATAAGGCGGGCTGAAATGTACAACCAGAAGATTCTTTCAGTTAGGAAAGTTAGAACCATTCTTTATGTAGAAAGTAAAAGAAGGTTGCAGCAGGATCGCCACTGGCTTCTATTCTGAGCCATATCCGATAACGTCTCTAGCCACTGTGTTGCACTATCTCTCGGACCCCAACCAGAGAGTCGTGAAGGACCAACGGAAGCTAGCCCTTTGCAGCTCTCTTTCATGCCACGACACCATGTCATACACTGACCTCCTCTCCGCTTTCTCCAACCAGTCCCAGGGTCGGCAAATAATGCACGACGCGGAAGTCTCTGGGACGACATTCGTAAAACATGTCCGAGCCACCGAAGTCGGTGTTTCAAGATGGTGACACCAATTGAATTATCGTCTCTGCGCCCGAACACACGATGCCGAACCTCTGCATTACTAACATGGTGTTGCCACTGGATGTCAGCAATCCTTCGGAGACAACGATGATCGAACACAGAGAGACGTCTAACATCCTCAACTCGGAGAGGCCAGGTTTCACAAGCATAGAGCAAAACTGCTCTCACCGACGCGTTGTAGATCCGACCTTTTACAGCCAGACTAACATCACGAAGGCGCCAAAGATGGCCCAGATTGGCATAAGCCGCTCTGGCTTTCATTAAACGTGCATCAATCTCATCACTCACGCCACCACCAGCACTTATATAGCTACCTAGATACACGAACTTCTCAACTACTTCAATCTGCTCACCATCCAGGGTGAGTACAGGATGAGAATCCTGCCAGTCTTGTAGAAGTACTTTGCACTTGGAGGGTGCAAAGCACATGCCGTACCTGCGGACACTGATTGCCAACTGATTAAGTGCTGATTGCATGCCTTGGGCATTATCGCACAGTAAGACAATATCATCCGCATACTCGAGGTCGAGAAGTCGTTCTCCAGGCAACATATCCACACCGCCATTACTTACATCCATCAGAGCTGTTTCTAGGATGTCGTCGATGGCAAAGTTGAAGAGGAATGGGGAGATCGGGCAACCCTGCCTAACCCCACTGCTCGAATGGAACAAGGGAGAAAGGTGGTTGTATGCCCTCACTCTGCCTGAGGTGTTCGTATACAGGGCTTTTAAGATGTTAATGAACTTCTCAGGCACACCCTTCTTCAATAGACAATCCCAGAGAACAGTCCTGTCCAACGAATCGAAGGCCGCCCTGATATCAAGAAACACTACGATTGTTGGCCTGCGATAAGTATGACGGTGTTCTAACATTTGGCGGAGGGTGAAGATGTGATCAATGCATCCTCGACCAGAACGAAAACCAGCCTGCTCCTCGCGAGTCAATCGTTCTCGGGTTTTAAACAACCTACGAAGAATGATAGAAGCCAATAGTTTGGACGCGATCGAAAGTAGACTTATCCCCCGATAGTTGCTACAGGAACAACGTGAACCCTTTTTAAAGATAGGGACGACTATTGACTCATTCCAAAATGTTGGAACACTTTCTTGCTCCCAAACCTTTCCAAACAACGCAGTCAGTTCCTTAGCCAGAAAGTCACCACCATCTTTAAAAAGAGCCGGAGGTAAGTCATCTGGGCCAGGTGATTTATAACGTTTCAAGAGTTGGAGTTCCTTGCGGACTTCCGCCTCGTTTGGTGGATCAGTCGTCACCGGCCATGGGGAGCAGGACAAGCTGGTTGATGTTGCCGGAGCAGCAGGCCAGTTGAACTGCCCTTCGAAAAATTCCGCCCATCGTCCAAGACGTCGACAGATGTTAGTGATTGGCATCCCGTCATCCTCGTAGATTGTTTCACTCACACCAGACTTCTTGCTGCCAGTGACTCGGATGAGTTGGAAGAGCTTCCGGCAGTTACCAGATGCAGCTGCTGCTTCCATCTCATTAGCACGCTCCGACCACCAGGCTTCCCGGTCCTTACACAAGCTTTGCCCGATTTCATTACGTAACAGCCTTCGTTTGTGGTCAAACTCACGGTCACCCGGAGTAGACCGACGGGCTTCCATCAGTTGTAAGGAGCCAGAAGAAACCCAGTGCTTGTAAGCGGGACGTTTCGCGAAGCCGCAAGCGGCTTTACTCGCCATTTTCATGGCGTCATGAAGATGCAACCAATGCTTACCTATACTTTTCGGTGGGGTGGTAGCTAGCCTAGAGGCTAGCTCCGCTCGATACTTACTTGCAACAGAAGTTGCAGCCAGTTTACTAATATCAATCCGTTGGTGGTGGTCAATCCTTCGGCCACTGAAAAGTAAGGTGAGATTGGCGCAGACCAGGGCATGATCAGACTCCAGATAGGTACTCCAAAAGGAGCGGCAGTCTTGTACACAACCACGCCAGCGGTAGCTGATCGCGATGTGATCAATCTGAGTCCAGGCTTGGGATGCAGAGGGAGGACGCCAGGTGGCACACCGGCGATGACTGTGCCGGAAGTTAGTGCTGGCCAGAAACAGGTTGTGGTCTGTGCACAGTTGCAGCAAACGGTCCCCGTTATCTGTCCTGCGACCAACAAGTCCCCATCGGCCACCTAGACGACTCTCTTCTGTGCCTAGACGCCCGACCTGTGCATTCAAGTCTCCGGCTAGTACTACAATATCTGTCGAACGCGCTTTCTGGAGAAGAACTGTTAACTGATGGTAAAACTCATCCTTGATTGCATCCGGGCTGCAATCTGTCGGGGCATAGGCGGAGATGACGAAAAGACACCGTTTCTCACGCCGATTTCTTCTCACTTTGATGGAACTTTCTAATCTAACAGCACATAACCGACTGTTAATGGGGATCCAATCGATTAGTGCTGCCTCAGCTCTAGCGCTTAGTGCGACACCAACGCCAGCAAGACCAGACGAAGATGCCACAGGGTCCCCGGATAAGCGCACGTGGAACAAGCTTTTCGAGGCGACAGATGGAGAGCGGATTTGTAGTACTTCACTAGAGTCTTGAATACGGGTCTCGGATAGACAACAAACGTCAACATTAAGACCTTCCAAAGACATAGCCAGCCCTATCTGTTGTCTGATCTGCATTAGTGTGCGAACGTTGAAGGAAGCCAGCTTGAACGGCGTACGTGGTTTCAGAAAGACTGCCTCAGTATTCATAATCGGTGGAAGCATTCACTTTCAACCAGACAGTGACTGGAGATCGTTTAGATAGGACAGATTTTCCACCAAGAGCGAGCTGATGCATAAGTTGAAGAGTAAGGTTACACAAATTGGGGATAAAAGGGGGTGAATTAGCGATATGGTAAGTAATAATAATAATAATAATAATAATAATAATAATAATAATAATAAAGGTAATAATAATAATAATGTTAATTGTTTTGCTTTTAGTATGACCAGGGATATCGTCAATAAAGTTCATAATTTCATTCATTTGTTTGTGTGTGGGCTGTGATACTGCCCGGGTGCCCAAACCGAAGCAGGTGGTTTTCTTAGGGGACCACACCCCGAGCCTTTGACCTAAAGGTCTGATCCACAAGGCAGTGGAGCATCGTGAGGAGATGCAGTCCCATGGTTGCCGTTGACCAACAGCAGGTTCTTCCGCCATTCGTTCCATCAGGATACTGGAGCCCATGTGCACCATTGGTTTGGAATCAGGGTTTTCCAACTCCCCTAGGTGGACCCTCCGTGTCCACCAATCCGGTTATAGCGCCGAACATTCGCTTTTCGTCCTCTCACTTTCGTAAACAACACCCCCGCCACGAGAAGGCAGTGAGTAGGACTTCCCTGGCAGAGGCTATATATTCGCTGGCCATGTGAGAGCATTTCGAGAGAGAGAGAGTAGACTCTCCCCACTCTCGGCCGTACCAGGGCATTTGGGGGCAAGCGACTTAGAATACACAGATGACATAGTCCTGTTTGGTGAAGACGCTGGCAAAATGCAGAGTCTTCTGCTGAAACTCAGTAATAATGCCAGGATGTTTGGGATGCGTTCCTCCCCATCCAAATGTAAATTGTTGCTCCAGGACTGGCCTGGGTTAACAACTTAACTAAGGAGAGGGAGTGAAGTAGTCGAACACGTCGACAACTTCACTTATCTTGGAAGTCTGATCAGCCCTAATGGGTTAGTGTCTGACGAAATCTCAGCACGGATTCGAAAAGCTCGTGTGGCTTTTGCCAACTTACGTCACCTATGGCGAAGACGAGATATCCGTCTATCAATTAAAGGAAGAGTATACTGCACAGCAGTTCGCTCTGTTCTACTTTACGGCTGTGAAACATGGCCATTAAGAGTAGAAGGTACTCGTAGGTTACTAGTATTTGACCACAGATGCCTTAGAAATATTGCTCGCATCTGCTGGGATAACCGGGTAAGTAATAGTGAGGTTAGACACAGGGTATTAGGGAATGATGTTAAATCAGTTGATGAGGTCATTAATCTACATCAGCTGAGATGGTTGGGCCACGTGTTACGTATGCCTGAACACCGATTACCACGACGCGCTATGATGACTAGTACTGGGGATTGTTGGAAGAGAGTTAGGGGCGGCCAAACCAAAACATGGCATCAGTGTTTGAAGTCACTAACTTCTGATCTGTACCATGTTGGCAGATGCAGACTACCTGGTTGGGGTCCGCGTGACTATCGTAACCAATGGTTGGAGACTGTGGGTAACATGACTCAGAATCGATCACAATGGCGTAGGTGTATACACTCTTTATCTTCCCTTAAACCTTGAGACTAAAATTGCTTCATATCTCTCTTCCTTCCTGCACTATATCCTTATATACAACCTATAATTTATATACTACTACCACCACTAAATTAATTACTTCTATGAATTCAGTGTTCATCTTGTTGTGCTAACGAGGTATGGCAACTTGGACCGATGCGTATATGTGCCTGGTCCTACATTGTAGCTGAATGACTGACTGACTGACATCATAGATTAATTACCGTTTCTATTTAAAGCCTGGCTTATTAAAGAATTCTATTACAACAATGTTTCGAAATCGCCTCCACTCCCCAATAAAATTGGCTTCCGGATGATAAATACTTACTAACTCTGGGTTCATCTGTGACTTCCATATAAAAATGCCTTGAATTAGGTCTATATGAAAATGCTAACACGAGGATGTGAACATGAATACAACCTTTAGTTTTCACAACAATTGAGACATCAGTAATTCATTGATTGGCATCTTCCTATTCTAGCCAAATGCTTACATAGTACGTTCGCTATCAACAAACTTATTCCGTATCCTTAAATTCGTTCGTATTCCAATATCGTATGTCTATGAGATAAACCAGTAGTAACAGAACTATTTATGTTTTCCAATTGTCTTTAAGATCAAGAAGGAATTATTATCTTTATTATTACTAGTATTTTTTTTACACATCTGAGCGACTTTTAAATTTTCTAAATATAATTCTAAAGAATTAAATCTTTTCGAGTTTTCACAGAAACTTGCTGAAAGATTCTTGATGAATTTGTTTTGATTGTGAATAGTTTTAAACCTCTCACTTGGTCTACGAGAGTATAATTTCGAAAGTGACTAGTTATTCTGCTAACAAATATGTACGATATCCAACGTTCTGATTGAAAAATTCATTTTACTTTGAAGCACATGAATCCTGATACAAAGTAACACCAGAAACGTTTCACATAAGGGAAGCGATAATATTGTGAATAAATAAAGAATGGAAAGTAGTGCAAACAACAAATAATTGTACATGAATAGTATTTAATGAGAATTGCGGTTTAGCTAAAAAAGCAACCACTAAATGCTTCCCAGTGCTCATCTCACTATTATGAAAAGTATAATAGAAAACTACAGAGGGATCACCACTGACTTTTATCTTGAGCCATATATGATAATGCTTTAGGCCGCTCACTCAACTACTCAGACGCAAACTTTTCAACTTTCTTTAACTGTTCACCAAAAAGAGCGAGTAGAAGCACAGATTCCTCTCAGTAGAGAGACAGCAGTCTGTCTCTAAATACGTTAGAGAAAATTGTTAACTATTTGGCCTACATATATTAGGAAGTTATAAGTTTGTGTGACGAAAATATTATTTTTTAAAAATCTCTTCTGTAGGAAATGGATGAAGAAGATGCTAAAAGAAAACAGGAACAAGAAGCATTGGCTCGCGGTGACGACGATGATGAAGCAAAAGAAAACGTGCAGACTAAAGAAACCGATGAAAATCCGGGGAAGAAGAAAGCCAAACGAAGAAAGCTCAAACGTAGTGCTTCTATAACGATCACGGGTAAACGAAAGCGCGTGGGTGGTATCGGTTCAGGTGATGTTGCAAATGAAGTTGCACGTCGTGTCTACGAAATAATGGAGAAACATAAGGAGAACTTCTTTGTCATTCGATTACACCCTCAAAATTCTGTCGCTGCACTTCCACCAATTAAGGATCCGGACCCGCTTATTAACTCAGAGCTAATGGAATGTCGTGGTGCTTTCTTAGAAAAAGCTCGTGAAAAGCACCTAGAATTTTCATCACTACGACGTGCTAAATATTCCACTTTGGTGATGTTATATGAATTACATAATGAAAATCGTCAACCTCTAATGTACACTTGCAATGTTTGTAGTGCACAACTGGAAACTCCATGGCATTGTAAACAATGTATCGAATATGACTTATGTCCCCGATGCTATGAAACCGAAAACCATCCTCATCCTATGGTGAAAATAGGTATTGGACTTGATGATTGTAATAAAGGACAAGAGCCAAGTAATGATTCAACTATTCAGGAATCAGGAAGAGATAAACTGAGTCGTTGGGTAAAAGCCTTAGGCCATAGCTGTTATTGTCGTGATGCAAATTGTCGTGTATATGCATGTAAGACAATGAAATATCAGGTGCAACACTTTCGTGTACATTCAACAGATCGAAATCAGTGTTCTGTTTGTCGATTCATCTATTATTTATGTTGCTATCATTCAAAAACTTGCCATGAATTGAAATGTCTCGTACCTTTATGTCCTAAACTTAAAGCCAAAATGAAGCAACAGCAAAAGCAACAACGCCTCAAACAAACACAAATGTTACGCAGACGTATGGCCACGATGCAGCGCTGTAACAGCATGACTCCTAATCATCAACCAACTCCCCCACCATCTCAAAATTATCAACAATGTTCGCAATCTTCGACATCTGATTGCATATCTTCTCCTATGTCTGTACCTATGCAGTCATCACCATTTGCTTCTACAGCTGTTACTACTGTTTCCTACAACCTTACCTCTCCACATTCACGAAGTCAATCTTCTATCCAATCTCCACAGCAAAGTCCGTTTTTTCACCCTCCTTGTCCATCATATCAGAATTCTCAACAAACTGTTCATTCATCAAAAGCATATGTGTCTAGTCCATCAATTCCCCGATCTCCGTCAATATCTGCTATGCCAGTCTCTACTTGTGTTCAAAATCTCCCTCAGTCAACTGGGACTCATAATCAGCCAGCTGTAACTTTAGAATCGGACCAGCTGATAAACACACATGTAGATATCAGTAGGACAGGTTATGCTTTTCAGTCTCAATCAAAATATTCTTTATCTTGTACCCAGCCTACAACATCTTTCAGTACCCAACAACAACTGCAGCGACATCATATACAGGAACGCCCACAAACAAGTCTTAATAATAACTGGGCCCCCAATTACGTTGTTTCTCAACATAGCATCCAGCCACATGGATCTACTTCTGGACACTCGGTCGCACATCGACCTTTACTTACAAACAATTCAGTTCCCATAGATGCATTATCTCCAAAACCATTTGTTCACCAACCGTGTGTAACTCCTATGGATGTTGACCCATCATATCCCCAGCAAATAATGTCAAGTCGGTTTCAGGGAGAAAATGAACACAATAATTACATTTTCAATAAGCAATCTCAACAACAATCGGTTACACACCACCCTTCACCAGCTTATTCTCAAGTTATTGAGGGGCATAATCCTGGAACCCTTTTACCTCCTAGCCAAACTTCATCAGGAACTATTTCCAACTCTAATTGGAGGCAACCTGGAACTGCACCTCCAGGCAGTACTATGTATCCATCAGGGTCATCTGTTAGCTCTACTCAACCAAATACGTCAATCGTTCGGTCAGGATCTGTGCAACCTACGTCCTCGCAATCCATAGTATCAACAACCTCGCCCAACACTGGTGTTGCTGTTCCGTGTAGCATCTCCCCAGAGGATGTGCGGATCGTTCAACAAGCATATACTACAATGAGGCAGCGAGGTGCTCCGGCGTCTGAAGTAAATCGGTTTTTTATTCCTTTTACTTTCGACAAATTTTCGAATATATTTTAGTGGTTAATTTAATTTTATGTCTATTACTCAGTAAGGCCTTTTATTCCTTCAAAGCTGATTAGGAGGTAAAAAAGTTTAATGTCATGCAATTCATTAGTTGAATGTACTGTGGGATTGTTCTCAGTTTTTGTTTACTTTAGGTTTTCTAATTAATGCCTCTCTTGAGTGCTTTATGTTAGTATTTTTGAATATAATGACTCAAAACTGCGTTTATTCGTGCGTGTATTAGTTTAATAAAGTATAACAGATTCTTTAGTCCATACCAAAACTGTGGTTGTATCAGACTGAGGTTTGATATGATAATTAATGTCAGTTTGAGCTTTATATTTACCAGAAGTTGTTTATTAATTTTTGTTAACAACTTTTCCATTAACATGACCTTTCTCTACACGACCGGTTTTTAGTGATATTCATCTCCCTTCAAAATCCAATCTAAGTGGAAAAAAGCTTTTTTTAGCAATAATTCCACAAAACATCATATAGAATGTCAAGTAATTCGTATCTAAGTGTTGAGAAATTTGGTTATTCTAATATTTCTATCCCAATATTCCACATGAATTAATCAAATTAAATCGAGTCCTATCACCAGTGTTCGTTTTTAATGATTATTCCGTTGTAAATTAGCTTCATCCTGTGCTTCTTACAGCTCTATTTTGCGAAAGATTGGTTTGTAAATATACTTTATGATCATCCCTGTCACAACCTACACTTATTTGCTTGGATTTCCTCCTATTTACTATAAGTACAGGAAAGTAAACACTTAGATTCCGTTAATATGAAACAATTTTTTTTGAATAATTAAGTTGCACTTATATTTCTACAATTATAAATTATTCTAACTAGTTTGTCGTCGTAGTATAAGGCAAGAATACAATTTGCACTAAATTCATTGAAAAAAAATTAGTTTATGTCTACCACCAATAAATTCATCTACAATATTTTGGCTTTGGATAAATAGTTTGTGAATTTCATGTTTATTATTATTATTATTACTATGGAAAGTTCAATTAGTATTGATTAGCACTTATTTGATTAGAATAAATAAAAAAAATTTTAACACATATTTCTCGACATTCCAATCAATTATTTTTTTCAAATAACATTTTCTGTAATCAACTCATCCTTATTTATAGTGACTGTAATTAAGCACCCAAATTTATTTAGTAAGAAATTCTGTATAGTATTTTTCTCTCTGTAACTATACAATAGTTTTACAGGACTATTTTCTTTAATTTTTTTTCTTGGTTAATACATATGGATAAATGAAAATTATAGAAAACATATCTCATTTAGTTAGTTACAAGTTTATTTACTTAATTTTTAGCCACATATTCCATGTGTGGTGTTATCAAAGCCTATAGTAACTATTATGCTCAGTTGTCTAAATGATTACCCTAATTGTTAAGAAGGACATGATCATCTAACCAATTTTTCTCCATGAAATTCTGTAGTAGTCAGTGTCCAACAAATGCAAAAGCTCACTGGTACCTTTTTAATCATAGAATTTCCCAAGTGTATACTTTATCACCATTACATCTGAAGTATTTTATAACTAACGGAGTATATGAATAGATATTATTTTTAAAAAGAATGAATTTTACACTTGAAGATTGCACAAAAAAGTGATTATGTTTCGTGGGAATGGTTACGAAATCCGATCTCATCTACAAACCTTAAAGTATTTCAGAATTGATTTAAAGGTACACCTAATGTGTCAAAAGGAAAAATCCTTAACATGTAATTTAGCGTAGGTAAAGCATCCGAATATTTACTGAGGTGTACTCTACAGTTTCCTTTATCCTACTGCGCTTTTGTGAACCATGACACTCGAAGGTAGAAGATATGGAGCCATAGATATCCGATCACAGATATCTCGGGAGAATTTTTCAATCATCAATGCTGAAATTGGTCGTAGAAGTAAAATGGAATCAATTTTCGAACCAAAGCAAGATAATATGTTGTAAAGTATTTGATTATCGATCTATCTATTCCTAAAATTCGTTTTCGTCTTTCTTATTGACCTTTATCACCACTGCTACCACTACTTTTATTAGTTATCACTGGGTATCGGGATTCTTAAGAGATAATTGTGGATAAAGGATTATCGTATATTATTATTGCACACTAAGTCGGGTTCTCATTAGAAAGAACACAACTACAGAAGTATATCTGTCCATATGGTCGATCTTTTTGATTTATTGTGCTGTATACGTGATATTAGCTATATAGACTCGGTTGTAAGATAATATAGTCGTAATGTTGATGCTGTGATGCGAGCTAACCAATCAAACAGTAATAATGTTTAGACAAGTACGATGATCATATAATTGTTTCGAAATAATTATGAACGTGAAGTCTAAGGTTTTTAAGTGGAACGACAGCTATTAATTTCACCTTATTTTTCGCTATTGCGATTTTGCATATACTGTTTTCATGTTAGTTAACATTTATATTAATTATAACTGTGTAAATATGTCTAGGAACGAAACATATTCGATGATAGTGATCGTATTTAGAGTTATTTTTCATCAGAATTTACATAATTATTCCTATTATAATACACTTCTTTGCAAATATTGTACTTTGGTTAATATTATATTACAGTTTTCAAGTTGGTTGAACTCCAGTCCACAATATGTGAGAGCGTGGCAGTATATTCAACAATCACATCTGCACAACCAACAGCAACAACAATTATCTCAAATGTCCGGATGTATGCCTAGTACTTCTAATCCTCATTGTCCTATGGGAGCTCAGCTACACAATACATATTCTGCTTGTCAAACTCCACAAAATTCTCAGTCAGCTGCTGGATCGCGTCCTTTACCTCAATCAAGGTATCCTTATTCACAAGTTCAACAGCAGCAGATTATTGGAAATCCTCAGTCTCACCAATCACAGTCGTGGTCCTCTTTGCCCACACAACAACCTCGTTTTCGTCAAGCAATAACTCCTCCAAGTTTTAATCAACAGTTTTCAATCCCTTGTCATCAACAAGTAGGTAAACCTCCTTCTACAACTATATCTCCAACTCAAGCATCTAATTCTCCTCAACGCTACATGACTCAAGCAAATATGCCTCAACCTATGACCAATCAAATCCCTATTTCACCTCCTGCTTCTAACATATCTCGATGTGCTAATACTGCAATGCCACAAATGGCGTCACTTCCACGTTGTACGAACAGTCTCTCAATGCCTTCCATGGGTCTTGTAAATTCTGCTGGTATGAGTCCTAATCGCGCAGTCCAACCCTCCCCTCATTATTCGTCTGTAATGCTATCACAGTTATTAGGGCCTGGTCAAACAGCTAATCTTGTTAACACCCCATCTTCTGTTTCAGAGTATCATAATATGCCAAATAAACAACATCTTGTTCGACAGGAATTCATTCCTTCAACAGTTTTCCAGCAGAAATTAAATTAGGGCTAAATATTATTGTCCATTTATCTATATCTCAGCTGACTTTTCTTAAAATACTTGTGTTAAGTTTAAACTTTTTTCTTATTCAGATGTATGTATATATAATATGAATTTGATTAATGAATTATCTGTGAGTTCTCACTACTACTTGTTATTTTTCTTCATTACGAAAATGTGTAAATAGTACTTTTGACCTCCCAGAATGTTTTTTTTAAAATTCATTCTGTATTAATTTCACTGTCTACTTCTCACTTCAATTTTCCCCAATGGTGAGATCATGTGATTTTTTGCCATTTTCTGTATATTTGTACAGGCCATTGTATATCTATACGTGGCTATCCCAATTTTTGTTGAGCTAGATTATACACACATTCACACTGTCAAACCTTATATTAATGTATTACTACTGATGTAATTTTGTTTTCTTTAATAAGAAATTTTTTTTTAAATATGAATTCACTCAAATGTAATTATTTCTAGCGTTTTGGAGTTCGTTTGTTCATGGTCGATTTGTTCAGTCCAATATAGAACTAAATATGTTTGACAGAAAAAGCATTGCTTAAGTCTGATTTCGAATGGTAGATGCTATGAATAGACTGTTTCAAAGTAAATTTTGAACATAAATTCAAGCTATCTTACTTGAGATCAGTTTATCAAGAAGATAATCAAAATCTGTATTCAAGATGAGTAAAAACCAAGTAAATCACGAGCAAACAAAGAAAATCTGAGGGGTAAATTACGTCAGAATTTAAAAGAACAATCTCAACTAGCAATTCTGAGATATCTCACTTTAAATCTTAAACCTTCGATCCCTTTTATCGTAAATACCAGAGTTCATACTCTGTTCTTGAAACAATGGGGAATAGTTTCATGATATATGAGTTTTGTGATTGATGTTTCCTCGATTATCTTAATAATTAGGCTGACGTCACACTTCATTTTAGATGGAGACTTAATGAATCACTTCAGTCACCTATCAAATAATACGCCTCTTGACTATAATCCTCACTTCAACACTTAAAAGATTCCGCAAATTAGTCTAGTTTGACCATGTCATCTCTTTTCCGTCACGTTTCAGAAATGACGGTATTACTTACACGCTCACCAAGACTATTGTTAGCATTGTATTCTAAATATATATATCCTGGTAAGTGGAAAAACGGACTTTGTAAAATATTAGTCTCCTTATTTTCACGATGTATCAGTACAAATCAATCTTGGATCATAACCCTTATTGGCAGTAAAGTAGTCCTAAGTGCTGCGGCGAAAACTTCGATACAGCTCAGAGCCAATAAGATGAAACAATATTATACTCAACACCGTAAAACCCATTAACATCAAGAAGTTTAGCGTCATTCAGTTGACTGGCTTTCTGACCATCAACGAAAAAGGTTACGAAAAACCAATGGATTTCTACTATGTCTGTTGCACTGATGGATTTTCGTAAACACCCCACCAGGCTCTGAACATAATGAATCGTGAATCGCAAGTCAGATCTAGGATAATCAAAAGTCTAAGGAATGACCGTGAGCAGTGATGGGCAAAGAAAGCGAAAGGAGTGGAAAAGGCAGCTGCTGTAGGCAACACCAGACAACTCTTCAGACTAACAAAAGAAACTGGAATTAAGAAGTCAAGTGTGAGATGGTCTCGGAAAAAGATGATACTTTTATCTGCTCTCAACCCAAACGTTTAGAACGATGGGCGGAACACTTTAAGGAGCAGTTTAGCTGGCCTTCAGCTACCGCACAACTACCCACTATTCCTAGAAAACCTGAATGGAACATTGAAGTAGGCCCCCCGACTCTAGCTGAAGTTCAAAAGGCTATAACTAGTCTGAAACGAGGGAAAGCAGCTGGTCCAGATGGATTGGCTCCAGAGGTATGTAAATATGGTGGTCCAATTTTAGCGATTAGGTTGACTGATATTTTAGCTAAAATCTGGGAGTTGGACGTAATCCCATCCAACTGGTCACAATCACTTATTGTCCCAATATATAAGGGGCCAAAATCATCCTGTAGTAACCATAGAGGGATTAGTCTGACTAACATAGCATCTAAAATACTAGCTTCAATAATTATTGGGCGCCTAACTAAGACTCGTGAACTGCAAACACGAGAAAATCAGGCTGGCTTCAGACCTGGTCGTGGCTGTATCAACCACATATTCACCATTCGTCAAGTTTTAGGACACAGACACGCTTATCGGCATCCGACAATGATAGTTTTTCTTGACTTGAAAGCAGCATTTGATTCTGTAGACCGAGAGGTTCTGTGGCAGTGTCTGTCATTGAAAGGTGTACCTGAGAAGTACATAAACCTTGTGAAGGCTCTTTATTCGAACACTACCAGTCGAGTGAGAGCTTATGGCGAACTGTCATATGATTTTACAACCTCAAGTGGTGTCCGACAAGGCTGTCCACTATCCCCACTTTTGTTTAATTTCATCATAGACCTACAGCTGGAAATAACACTCTCTTCGACTGAATTTACAGGAATTGATCTCCTACCAGGGGGACCACTAAGCGACTTAGAATACACAGATGACATAGTCCTGTTTGGTGAAGACGCTGGCAAAATGCAGAGTCTTCTGCTGAAACTCAGTAATAATACCAGGATGTTTGGGATGCGTTCCTCCCCATCCAAATGTAAATTGTTGCTCCAGGACTGGCCTGGGTCAACAACTTAACTAAGGAGAGGGAGTGAAGTAGTTGAACGCGGTGACAACTTCACGAGTATACTGCGCATCAGTTCGCTCTGTTCTACTTACGCCTGCGAAGCGTGGCCGTTAAGAGTAGAATATACTCGTAAGTTTCTAGTATGTGACCACAGATGCCTTAGACATATTGCTCGCATCTGCTGGGATCACCGGGTAAGTAATAGTGAGGTTAGGCACAGGGTATTAGGGAATGATGTTAAATCAGTTGATGAGGTCATTAATCTACATCAGCTGAGATGGTTGGGCCACGTGTTACGTATGCCTGAACACCGATTACCACGACGCGCTATGATGACTAGTACTGGGGATTGTTGGAAGAGAGTTAGGGGCGGCCAAACCAAAACATGGCATCAGTGTTTGAAGTCACTAACTTCTGATCTGTACCATGTTGGTAGATTCAGACTACTTGGTTGTGGTTCGCGTGTCTGTCGTAACTAATGTTTGGAGACTCTGTGTGACGTGGCCCAGAATCGATCACAATGGCGTAGGTGTATACACTACTGTTCTTCCCTTAAACTGTGAGATTAAAATTGCTTTATATTTTTCTACCAACCAATTCTTTCTTCCTGTACTATATCCTTATACACAACCTTTTTTTATATGTTACTACCATTGAAGTAACTACTATGAATTCGGTATCCATCTTGTTGTGCTAATGAGGTATGCCAACTTGGACCGATGCATGTATGTGCTTGGTCCTACATGGTAGCTGAGTGACTGACGAACAATCTCTACAGACTTGGAATTTTGAGTCCTTTACTCCATACTCAACCAAAGATCCTAGCCAAATAACCTACCATTTTTAATCCCTCATTATTTGAGCCGCTAATAAATAACTACCGTTAAAAATGACCGAAGGAAAGCTTGGCAGTACTTTTTAAGAACTTTAGTTTGGTAATACTTGAATAATCAGAAATACATTCAGTAGTTGTTGGCATTCGTCTCTGGTTTTCTCATGTTAGTCTCATTATTATGTAGACCTTCAGTAACTACAACAAATGGTATATACGACTTAAATTTGTTCAATGATAGTCACTACTGGCTAATCGAAGATTTAAATTTTGCCTCTACCTAGGCTCCTAGACTATTAATATAGCACACGAAACACTAATCATTCAAGACGGTTTCAAAATCTTTTCAAATCAGCTGTCACCAGCTATTATCAGAAGATATTAGATTTTCTAATACGCAATAACATGAGCAAATCACTACTGTGTCTCGAACAGTCATCTTGACATTTCAATTATCGTCCTTATTTACTAAAAATCTGAGTAGTTGTCCTGCAGTCACTATAGTATAATTGAAGTAGCGTCATTATCTTTTGGGCAAGTTGTGATATAACCACTTACTCCAGCGTTATCTAGTAGGATTATAAAGCTGCAACAAGAATCTATCCTGAAAAGTGACCAGCCTAGATTATTTGCTTGACAAATCTATTAGTTATGGTTATTAATTTATTCATTTGAACTAGTAACAGAATGTTCGAAAGCCTTCAGTGAAACTCGTTTCCAAAACTAATTAAACTCCAATCAGTAGATCTGTAACCTGAAAATAAACATATAGATGTAGACATATACAATAAATTTTAAATTCATAAGCAGTAGAAAAGGTAAGGAATAACTTCAGTCTACCCCTACATATAGATATCGATTTTTCATTTATTGATAGCCTGAATTGAAGAGAACGATATCATTAGAAAAAGTTATGTGAGTAAACAGTAGTGAAATATTCTGCTCCCCTTTGAATTTGAACAATATTTTCACATGATATATATATATATATATATACAAAGTACAGTTTTTAATCATACTCATTCTGTTTTCTTCAGTGATTGGACACAGTCTAGCGAGTTGTTGTTGACACCGGCTGTGCTCTCTCAAGACTTGCTGTGTAGTTAATGTAGTAAGTACTCACGAAATTCGGGTGGAAAATGCATTTGCTGCTTCACAGATAATGTAATTTACCACAGATGACGTAATATAATTTGAAGATAGTTTATAATTAAGAAATGAGTTATCTTACTTTATTTCTTCTAACTACTTAAAAATTTCCCTCCAAAGTGTGTTTTTTCGAAATTGTACATCATGAACAGTTAATTGCTATTGGTTTTAACTAGGATGGAACATTATTGCAAAGTTCTTCTTGCAGATATATGACCTTTAATAGTTCTGACACCCATTAGAAAGTATCTTGAAAAGAAATATCATTCGTACACAAGACTAAATAAATTGATTCAAAGGAATTACTTTGTACAGAATTGCTGTATTTCTGTATGTAGTTTAACACAGAAGTGACATCATGACACTATTTTCCAATTTTCAATGATCACGTGGTCTACTTAAGTTTGGTATGTTACATCTTTTAAATATTTAGTTCAAAAGACTGTCTTACAGAAATAATAAAAATTTTTTATAACTGACTTACCCATTTTATATGTAATCGATAGCTTCCAGTTAAACTTAGATGCTTTCTATGGTGTTGATTAGTCATGTGATGTATATATTATACTTCCAACATTCATTCCTACTATGTATGTATACAGAAGGTAAACAACGAGAATGACACAGTTTCAATAATCATCTTTGAGTATTTTGTGGTGGTAGTAATACAAGTTCATTTTAACACTAGAGTAAATTTATAAACACAATAGTGTTATGTAGACTGAATTTCTGCTGAAACTTAAAAATTTGGAGTAAAGGATGTTATCACTCTGACAACAAAATGTAAATATAGGTTTGTACAAAACAAGTAGGTCAAAATTACTCACTAGTGAGACATAAGCGTCCACTTCAAACTCGATACT